TTCTCCGCGCGGGCCTCCATGGTGGTGGCCAGGGTGGCGGCGGCGGCCTCGGGCGAGGCGCGCATGGCGTCGGCGGCCGTCACCACGGCATCCTCCTCCAGCAGGGTGCGCGCGGTCTGCTTCTTGGTCGCGGCCGCCGGGGCCCCCTCGATGGTGACGGTGGGCGCGCGGGCCGAGCACGTCCGCCGCTGGAGCTGCTTGGCCGCGGCCTCGGTGAGGTCCGACTCGTGGTACACGATGGCGTGGTTGGCATCGCGGGCGATGAGGCTCTCTGCGAAGGGGCACTATGGTCAGGGAGACAGGCAGCAGCTTGGCCGCGGCAGGAAAAGGCCGGCCTTGGCAATGTGGCTGGGCCGGGGCCCGGAGCCGGGGCATGATGTGCTGGCGCTAGGGGTCGCGCGCTGCCAAGAAAAGGCCAGGAGAGCACTGGCGAAAGCCCTTTCCGGTAGATCGGAAGAGCGTCGTGACTATGGTCAGGGAGACAGGCAGCAGCTTGGCCGCGGCAGGAAAAGGCCGGCCTTGGCAATGTGGCTGGGCCGGGGCCCGGAGCCGGGGCATGATGTGCTGGCGCTAGGGGTCGCGCGCTGCCAAGAAAAGGCCAGGAGAGCACTGGCGAAAGCCCTTTCCGGTGTATTTCTCCCTCCCTCTCTCTCTCTCTCTCTCGCTGCCCGCCCCCTGCTCGCGGGCCGAGCCTGCCTCAGGTGCAAGCACGCACTCTCATCGGTGGCCACATGCCACCAGCCGTCCTCCTGGTCGAAGCGCCAGAAGCCCTCCAGGCGCTTGTCGTTCCAGGTGATGGCCACCACGGAGCTGGTCTTGCCGTCGGACTGGCGGGTGACGCGGCCCTTGTAGGCCCGGTTCAGGCGGGGGTTCAATTGGCCGACCGAGGGCCCGGCCATGAACAGGTCACTGTTGTGGATCAGGTCGAACTGGAACTCGTCGCGCTCGCTGGAGAGAACCAGCTTCATGGTGGGCGGGGCGGAGCCTGGGCAGTGGGTTCAGCGGTATCGGGGGGAGGGCGGGGGGAGGGGGAATTCTTGTCAGGAGCCCGGCAGGCCAAGCGGGGGTTTGCGCCTCGAGGCGCCAAAGTCGTCGCCACAGGGACGTTGGCCGAGCCCCTGAGCGGAAGGCCCGGGACCGGCCAAGATGGCGGTGTGCGTACCGGCAGCGGCGCCGCGGGCCTCGACCGTTTGAATGCGCGGCGCGACCAGATCCACGCGCTTGAGCATATCATGGATGCCACCTATGCATGGCCAGGCCGAACACCCGAGGCCCCCCCCGGCCGGCAAAGGGATGTCATGGTTGTCAGCAGTCACAGAGCCCCGGGGCGGAAAAGGCGGCGGCCCAAGGTCACGGGGCCCGGCCTGCCCGAGCAAGGGGACGCAGAAAGAAAAAGCCCGCCTGGAGCGCCATCCAACGCACGGGTCCGAAGGATGCGGGCATCCGACTCGCGCTGGGCCTCGCGACGAGCACGCTCCGAGGAGGGGACAACGGCGGAGTTGATGTCCGACGCGAACTGCTCGGCCAGCGACAGGCGCGCATCGATGGACTTCTCCAGGGCCACCTGCTCATGCAGGGCAGCGGTGGTGGCCTCCGACGCGAGGACGGCCGCCGAAGACAGGGCCAAGACGGCCACCAGGGACTTGATCAAATGGGAGGACATGTTGTACTACCGGCGCGACCGGGAGGTGCAATCCATGTGAGTGGGCGGAAGGGCGACCAAAGGGCAGGCGAGGGGGGGCGAGGGTCCCAGGCCCGGCAGAGCGAGCCGAAACGCCGGGGCCGTGTCATAAAAGTGCATTTCTGGCGACGCACACTCGGTGGAGGGATGCCGTGCGACGGGTGTTGGCGGCGAAAAAGATAAGAAAGCAAAGGGGCAAAGGGGTGCAGGGGCGGGGGGGAGGGACAGGCAGGGGTGCTGGGTGGGCGGCTGGCAGGGGCTAGGCTTGGATCGGAGGCAAGCCGGATACCAAAAAACTCCTGAAAGCTGCCCCTGGCCAATCCAGGCTCTTTTATACTTGCGCCCCCCTTCTCCCCGGCGCTCGCCCACGCCGTGAGTAAAGTGCCACGTCGCTGCGTATGCAGGGAGGGGGGGGGGGGGGGTCGGGGGCGAGGAGGGCGGGGGGGTCAGGGGAGGTGGCGTGCCGCCGTGAGGCGAGGACAGTCTCGGGCCGGGGGCAACAATAGGCGACCAAGAGGGAGCCGAGCGGACCACAGGTGGGCACCGAGGGGACTTAATATGTGGAGGGGGCCAGGATGTGCTCCCGCCCGTCGGCCCCCTTCCCCTCCCTGACTCACACTCCGCACTTGCCTCCGTGCCAGCAATTACAGCGAGAGGATGCGCAAGCCTCGGGTGACTCGAGAGTGCACATGCGGGCTTACCTTGGCCTTGGGGGTGCAATTTGGTTGCGGCCAAGGCGCTCGCCGCGTAGACGCCTCCCCCCCCCACCCCCGCGGGGGCTCCCCAATGGCTGGTCGGAGCTTGGCGCCTAGAGCATCCATACCCCCCCCCCCCCCCCCCCCCCCCCCCCCCCCCCCCCCCCCCGCCTCCCGCCCCGGTTCGAGCGCAGCAAGCAAGACACGCACACATGAGCGCGTCGCGCGCGGGCCACAGACGGTCGGCACACAGTTACCACCTCCCACTGAGGGTCCGGAGGAGAGGAGGCGCACGGTGCACGGTGCACCGTGTCCCGTGCACGGTGGCCGTGGCGGCCTGAGAGCAAGTGCGGGAAGGGAGTTGGGACTATTTGTGTGTCGGCGCGCCGGCGCATTGTAGTCCTTCCCTCGTGCGCCCCGGGGCCCCCCGAACGACGGACCTGCAAACCCGGCCCCCCTCCGCTCCGGCCACCACGGTCCTGTTGCCGAACCTGCACTGTGCGATCTCGGGGCCGCGCGCCCTTGAACGCCATCCTCATTCCTCCGCCGCAGTCTGGCGACCGAGCCACCCGGGGCGGACCTCTCGCGCGTCGTCCCCTCGCGCCGTTTGCCCCTCGCGGCCCTTTCCAAACCCCGTGCCGTAGCTGCGGCACTGCCAACATCCGACCATAGCTGGGTGGCCCTGGCACCACACGGCCTATGCCCCACAATCAAAGGCGTCTCACCTTCCCCACAACCACGCACCGCCGCAGCTCCTGCAGTGCCCCCCCCCCCAAGAAGGGTACGCCTTCGCCCGCCGACTCATC